TCGCAGCCTACTCTCTTCTCTGCTGCCAGGGCTTTAGGACCTTGCAACTGTTTCTTGCCCCTAGAGTTACTGCCTCTCTGTGTCTGATCCTGTCTGGAGATTATGTTTCTTTGTTCCTTGCTGAATGAGGTATCTCCCACCACGGGAGTAGCTTGGATACTAACAGAGGCTTCACATACCCACCCAGCCCTACCCCCAAGAGGTGGGGAGACATTCCTTTCCTAGGTGCAGAGTTCTTTCTTGTCTGTTGGTTGCTACTAGGATGAGTGGCTGTTTAACAGTCTTGAGGGGGCGTGGCCAAGCTCCCCCTGATCAACGAATGGGCTTCTCTTCCAAGAATCCTTCCCAATTCACAAAGGGATGAAAGCCTGTATATGAATCTTAGAACCTCAGCATCGTGGAATCTCTCAGAACATTACAATCTCAGAATATGACAATGATGCAGCAGAAAGTGGGCTGACTTGGGAGTCAGAGGACCTGGATTGTTGCTTGTTGAGTCATTTTTCAATTGTCTGACTCTCCATGACCCCATTTGGGGTTTTCTCAACAGAGACACTGGCATGGTTTGCCATTTCCTTCTCCAGCTCATTTTCCAGATGAGGAAACTGAGGCAAACAGGGGGAAGTGACTTGCCCAGGGTCACACAGCTAGTAAGTGTCTGAGACCGGATTTGAACTCAGGTCTTCCTAACTCCAGGCCTGGTGCTCTGTGCACTATGGTGCCACCTAGCTGCTATACCCTGTCATTAAATACCTGTCTGACATTGGGCAACAATAGCCCAACCAAGTTATTCGACCAACAGTTTCCTCATGGGTAAAACGTTTTTGTTTTTGTTTTTGTTTTTTTGCTTAGGCAATCAAGGTTAAGTGACTTGCCCAAGGTCACACAGCTAGTAAGTGTCTGAGACCGGATTTGAACTCAGGCCCTCCTGACTCCAAGGCCAGAGCTCTATCCACTCTGCCATCTCATGGGTAAAATGAATCAATGAAGATAAACTCTCAGGTTCCTTCTAGCTCTTGACCAATGAGCCTTGGAATTTCACAACCGTTGTAACTCAGAATCATAAAAACTTCAAAATCTTAAAACTTAGAACCATCCGATCCTTAGAACCTCAACACCTCAAGGTTCTAAGCCACAAGTCCAACCTCAGAGGATAAGAACCTTAGTGCCCTTCAACCACTGTATGTCTGAACAATATCCAAGAATGTGCAAAGAGTTAGTTTTAGAGGTTGTGGTGCCTCGTGGTACATCTCGGAACTCCTCCTAGAATCTTAGAACCTCTGAGGAACTAGATCTCAGGCCAGTAGTCCAAGGGAAAACTGGACCTCAGAGAAAGTCACACAGTCATTGAAACAGAGAGAGCCTCTGTCTCTTTATTTCCATTTGGAGGGTCCTTCTGGTCCTGAGAGCTGAAACCTGAGCTCTGGGGTATGCCCTTGGGAGGAGGAAAAAGAGTCAGGCTGCTAACACACAAATACACACACACACACACACACGTTAGGGAAAAGAACCCAGGAAGTCAGCTCCATCCCTCCCTTCACCTGGTCCCATATAAGAACAGTATCCTCTCCCCTAATTTCCACCTTGGGAACTCAGGCAGATAGAGAACTCTTGAGTTTAGGGCTGGAGGGAATGTCCGTAGGGAACTGACCCAGATCTTTCCTCATCTTTCCCTCTCTCCAGAGGCCCAGTGCTGAGAAAAAGGGTTGACTCCGGAACCAACAATATTTGCTCCCTGGCTTCAAGGAAGTCACTATGACAACAAAAAGATTTGGACTCCAGACTGTGGAGGGAGATAGACAGAGATACAGAAGGAGAAAAACATATATATATTTATGTGTATATACACATTTCTCTCTCTCTTCATATATATATATATTTACATACATACATATATAAACATATAGTCATTCACATATAGTATATATATGTGTATAGTATATATTCATTATAGTATGTACATATTAATATATGTAGAGACAGAGACATACAGATACAGAAATATATGTGTATATATGTAGCGATACAAAGACAGATACACACACACACACACACACACACACACACACACACGTCAGAAAGGCAGAGAGAGATAAAGCCAGAGACAGAGAACACATAAAGAGAGACAAAGTCAGACAGACTGAAATAGAGAGCCAGGGTCAGACCCCTGAGGCTCCCTCCCGCAGGCCCAGCCTTCTAGGTCCTCAGGCCTCCACCCATGGGAGGAGAGTGGACATGAGCTGGAGTGGTTTCTCTCCCATCTGTGTGGGTGGCAGTACGAGCCTGGCTGGGAGTAGGACCTACTGGCAGCTGGGCACTGAAAGGACAATATGGGAGTGTTGGCTGCCCTATCTAGGTCAGGTTTTATATGGGATCTGTAGCTGCCCTGCCACTGGGTCTCTGTCTCTTCATCTTCTTGTCTCTGTACGTGCGCCTCAGTAGCGCTGCTGTCTCCCACCTCCCCTCCCCCAACCCCACCCTTTCAGCAGTGCCCTCTCTCCCCCCTGGAGACCTCATTTCCCTGCCTCATCGACCTTGCCATCTGCCTGGGCTTCAGGCCCCTGCCTCTTCCCTGAGGATCTGCTTCCTGTCCCTGCTGTCTTCTCAGCCCCAGGCCACAGACCCCTGACTAGCCTGGCAGTCCTGGAAGGGGGGGTCATTTGGGAGAGGCTCTCAAACCCCAAGCTAGGAGAAAGAAAGAAAGAGACTGAGTCTAGGATAGAGACAGAAACATAGCAGGAAACAAAATATACCCACAGAAATTCTCAGAGACGGTCTAGGGCAGAGACAGAGATCGAGAAGAAGAAACAGAGAAAGGAGGAGAGATGCCCTGGGTCTTCTTTCCTATCCCTTTTGGATCCTAAAAGGAGGAGGGAGTAGGAGGAGAGCCTGAGTCCAGTATTTGGGGGTCGACTGACCCCAGCCCCACTCTGCTGACAAGACTGCTCATTCCATCCCATCTTGGGTTTCTTCAGTGCTTTGAGATCTCAGAGAAGAGTTGGGGGGCGAGGTTCAGAAGGCGTTCACACCAACCAGCCTTCTCCTTCCTACTCCATCCCAGCACCGTAGCCAGGGGGTGCCAAGGACAGACATTATATTTTCCACAGCATCTTCTTTATCTTCCTCTGTCTTTCAGTTTTCTCACTTACCTTTCTTGGGGCTCAGTTTCCTCCTCATGGGTTTCTGATGAGTGGGTGTGGGTGTTTAAGAATATTTAAGACATTGATGAATATGGATGAGATCTTTTGCAAATAAAGGGAGGTTTTTGTTCTGCTCCCACAGGTGGGATACAAAGACACCCAGAAACAGGTCAATGGAATCAAAGGGAGACAGACGTCGAGACAGACAACATACAGGGTGTCCCCAAATCAGTTCATTTTTAAGTTTGTTAAAGACTTTTGGGGACACCTTGTATTTCTGTTTGTTGATGCTTGTGAAATTTTCCATCAAATTAAAAAATAAAAGATCCTTGGGACCTCGGAAGCACCATGGTGTAGCGGATAGATCGCTGTACTTGGAGTTTAGAAGATCTGCATTTGAATCTGGCTGTGACCCTGGGTAAGTCACTTCAGTTTTCTTGGCCTCTGTTGGACTTGATGACTTTTAAGAGTCTTTCCAGCTCTAAAGAGATGATACTGTGATCTTTCGTATCACAACAAAGCGAAGAAAAACCAGGGGAGAAATTGGGACCAAGAGGAACAGAAGAGACAGAGAGAGAGAGGGGGACACATAAAGAGAAAAGGCCAGAGAAGAGAGATTAGGAAGCCCCCTTCGTGTTTGTTCTGCTGTTTTCCTTTCATCTGTGGAAGACACCGGATGACTGAGAGACTGAAAGAGGTGAAAATAGAAGGGCTAATTGAAGGTTAAGGTCCCTTCCAGCTTCCAAATCCTAAGATTCTAAGACACAGAAATGAAATGAAAGCATGCGCGCTCGCGCGCACTCACTCGCACACACACACACACGTGCACACACACACACACACACACACACACACACACACACGCACAAATATAGGCAGGATAAGAGAGAGCCCTGGATAGGTATAGGAGGGCAGAGCCTGTGACGGACTCCATGTGTGACAATGAGTGTTTGCACCCACCCCGGGGCGGAGCTCAGAACCCAGAGCCTGGAAGAGAGAGCTAGAGGAAGGAGGGGAAAGCAGCAGCCCCAGGTGAGAGAACAGGTAAAGCAGAAGTCCAGACCTTTTGGTCTCTGGCGTGCGCTCTCTCCCTCTCTCTCTGTGTCTGTCTGTCTGTCTCAGAACCTTGAGGATGACCTCATATCTTTTTTCTCCCCCTACCAACATTTCTTTCTTCCTCTTCCTCTCTTCCTCTCTCTCTCTCTCTCTCTCTCTCTCTCTCTCTCTCTCTCTCTCTCATAGGACCTTAGGGAGGACCTCATATCTTTTCTCTCCCCCAATAACATTTTTTTCTATCTCTTCCTCTGTCCCTCTCTGTGTTCTAGTATCTCCTTCCCAAGACACTAGTGATGGGGATTTGGAGATAGGTGGGGAGATGTAGGTGGGGTCGAGGCAGGGGAGAACAATTGGGACCAGGAAAATGGTCTCCTTCATTCAGATGCCTCAGACTCCTGGGTTCCTCCCTCCCCACCTCAATCCCTCTCTGACTTCCAAAAGTTTTGAGATCGGAGGTGTTCTCAAGAAGGAAGGTAGTGGATGGTACCTCTCCTGAGGAAGGTGGGGAATGCAAAGTATGTTGTGATACGTGGCAAAACAGGGATTTGGCAAACAGTTGTTGGAGGGGGTGGGGGGATGGCAAACAGTCTGGTGTGGGGAAGCACCTGATCATCAGTTTCTGCCACGGGTCTCCAAGGGCCTTCGGGAAAACCCAGAAACAGCTTGACCTAGTGGGTTGAAATCCTGTTTCTTTTCCTTCATCCTTTCTGTACAATGGGCATCGCAATAGCACCTACCTCACAGGGTAGTTAGGAATAGGAACTAGACCTATGATTTTCATTTGGATAGAGAGCTACTGGGTGAGGAAATTTCCTCTACCGATACAGGTTAGCTCTTCCCTTCAATTTAACAGTCATCAGATTGTGTGAACTAGGGTACCAAGGTGCTCCAAGATGAGGTGACCTGTTCAGGGGCACAGAGCCGAGATGTATCAGGGAACTTCTTGGCTCCAAGGCTGTCTATCCTTCACGCTACCCTGCTTCCCACAAGACTTTTAAGAGGAGCTCCAAGGCACCCCTGGAATCGTGGACTCTGAAGGCCAGATTCCCTCCTGCGATGTGGACACCTCCACCTCTCCTGATTCTCTTGCTGTCCCATCCGGTCCTGTGGAAAGCACAAGTAAGGGGGTGGGAGGGAGAGGCCATAAGGGCTTGGAAATCCTCCTGGGGGTGAAGGGGGATGAGGGGTAAGAAGTAGTTTCAAGACCCTTCCTCCCAGGAGCACTAATGGTGGGTTTACAGACACCCTCCTCATTCCCAAGTAACTAAGCTTTAGAGGTTTCAAGACACCCCTCAGTTCGGATGTCGGCTCAAAACCTCCTCCTTTCCCTTTCTCACGCTAGCCTGCAAATCCTGCCCCCTCCCTGATACCTTACAAGTCTTCGATGAGGGATAGTGCAAGACTGGCTGAAGAAGGGCGGGGCACATTTCAGGATGTAGAGGGTGGGACAGATGGGAGGTGGTCTGCTGGCTTTCCGCGAGGGTTTTGAGCCTCATAACCAACTGCAGTAGACATTCCAAGATCCCTTCCTTTTCCCCTGGGTACCTGGGGTGTGGTGAGGAGGGTTCTTTCTCCACAGGCCAGCTCTCTGAGGAGCACAGCCAATGAGGCCTACCGTCGATGGGTGCAGTACCAGGCTCAGTGCCAGGAGGATCTAGCTGCTGCTGAGCCATTGGCAGGTAAGCCGGGGCTCCTGCGGGATACAGCAGGTGGGCCATCCTGAATCTCAGCAAGGATCTGGGGAAAGGGCTTAAACCTGTGCCAGGCTCCAGCTGGTGGAGATGCGAAGTGACTCAACTGTGGGTGCTGGGGGGTGGGTGTGCATGTATGCAGGCAGAGAGCAAAATGTGTGTGTTGGACTGGGAGGACAGGAAGGGAATTGGTGAAATGGCCAGTCTGTCTAGACCTAGGGGAAAGCAACAGGGGTGGACATTCCATGGGGCAGACATCTCACAGATTTGACGGGCCGTGCTTGAACGGATGAAGGAAGGGAGAAGGCAGTTAGAAGCAGCCATTAGGTTCTGTGGGTGGGATGGGGGAAAACTCTACCTCCTTCACAAACCCATATTCTCTTCCTCTCTCCACCTTGGGGGAACCTAGGAGAAGGAACTGGGAGTGAACATCTTTGCCCCCTTTGCTTCCTCCTACCCCAGGCCTTGCCTGCAATGGGACCTTCGACATGTATGCCTGCTGGCCCCACTCACCCCCTAACACCACAGCCAGTGCCCCCTGCCCTTGGTACCTGCCCTGGTACCAGGAAGGTGAGGATCCCCTCTCTGGGAGGATAACAAAGAGGCCCACCTCTTGAGGCTGTCTTTGAGCCTGAGGCTGCCTCAGTTTCCCTTTCTATGTGTCTCTGTGTTGAGTGTGTGTGTAAGGGGCTGGTCTTCCTGTCCTCTCTGGGTTTCTCTGTGCGTGTCTCTCTTTTCTCCTGTCTGCCGTTCTGACTCACCATCTATCTCCATCTCTCTGTGTTTCTCTGGTTCCTTGACTCCTTGAATCTCTCAGTGCTGTCTGCTTTTCTCTGGTTTTCTAGGCTCAAGTCCTTTTCTTCTTGTGGGATCTTGGGAACGTCACTTCCCTGAATGGCTTCAGTTTTCCCTCCACCCTGTGTAAAAAGAGGGATTGGGTTAGATGTCCTCTACGATCCCTTCTCTTTCATGTTCTCATGTCTTGTATGCTCAGGGACCTCCAGGTCTGACATACGCATACTGAGCTCCTCTTTCTCTGGGAGCATTTCTGTGTTTCTGTCTAGAATGGTCCAAGAGACAGGGCCCCGGGCTTGGAGTCAGGAAGTTCTGGGTTCAAATCTTGCCTTAAACTATGTGACCCTGGCCAAGTCACTAATCTTTTTAGGTCTCAGTTTCCTCACCTGTAAAATAAAGAGGCGGTACATGATGGTCTCTGAGGTCCCTTCCAGCTTGAAATTGGGGATTGTGTGAGCTCCCTTTGTCTCCATGGGTGCCTCTCTGGGTCTCTGCCCCCCTCACCTTCCACCCTGACACTATACCCCTCCTTTAGCCTGGTCTGTCTTCCATGTTCTCTTCAGTGACCATGGGCTCCGTGCTGCGTCTCTGTGGGGCTGATGGGCAGTGGGGATCCTGGAGGGACCACTCCCAATGTGTGTCTCCAGAGAGGGAGCAGGTCTTCCAGGTGAGATCACTGGGTGTAGGAAGAAACACAGCCTTTCCTCAGGAAGAGTCTGAAAAATCCTCACTGTCCCACAGGAAAGTGAGCCATCGGTCTCAGGGCTGTGCTGAGCTCTGTGAATCTTCCTTCCTCCAGGGTCAAAGGCTCATCCTGGAGAAGCTGCAGGTGGTGTATACAGTGGGGTACTCACTCTCCCTGGTTACCCTGTTGCTGGCTGTGCTGATACTCAGCTCCTTTAGGTAACTGGTCCAGAAGGAGAGACATGACACCGTCCTCAGGGGGCCCCCAGTCTAAAGAGTGAGACTCAGCTTTGCTCTTTAGGAGACTCTGGTTGGACAGAAATATGTGAGGGCGGAGGGCAGATGAGCTAGCTGTCTTCAAGCATCGGAAGGGCCTTTAGGTGGATGAGAGGTCAGACTTGTTCTGTTTGGTTCCAGAAGGGAGGACTTTTCGGCTCTATATCAGGAAGAGCTGTCTAAAAGTGGAATGAGCTGTCTTGGGAGGCAGTGGATTTCCCTCTCTCAACAGACATCTTCAAGCAAATGACCATTTGTTAGACAAGCGTGGAAGGTCAACCTTCCTTAGGGAGGACAGGCATCCTTAGGGAGAACTAGAAAGGAAGTACATGGAGTGAGGGGGAAAGTGGAGAGCTGGCAGTTATGGGGCAGGGTCAACAGGTTCTGCCATGACCCTCTCCCTGCAGGAAGCTTCGATGCACCCGAAACTATATCCACATGAATCTATTCGTCTCCTTCGTTTTCCGAGCAGCTGCCATTCTCACTAGGGATAAACTGCTGCCCACCTTGGGCCTTCACACTGGAGGCCCCTCTCAGGTGCTCCCTGGTCAGGTGATCTCTGGGTTCTCCCTTCCTTTCCCCTTTCAGTGTGGGCACAGAGCCCGTAATGCCAATATACCGACATTCTATGGTCTCCATTCTAAGTGGCTTCCCAGCCATGACGGTCGACGTTTTATGCTCTATGATCACTGGACTCCATCACCCTCTTCTCACCCCACTTGGCTCACACCCACTCACTATCTGACTGCCCACCCTCTGGACCAGGTCTAGAAGACAGGGACGTTGTTGGGGGAGGGCATCTGGTTGATTGGGTGGGCTGGGGTGAGGAGAGATGGCTGGCTGGTGGGAGAGGGAGTCTCTCCTGGGAAGTTTACCTCTATCTGCTTCTGATCCTCTCACCCACCGCCAGGCCCTAGCCACTTGCCGAGTGGCCCAGATTGTGACCCAGTACTGTGTGAGTGCTAACCACACGTGGTTGCTGGTGGAAGGTGTGTACCTGTACAGCTTGCTGGCACTGATGGCCTTTTCAGAAGATAGGCACTTCAAATGCTACCTGTTTCTCGGCTGGGGTGAGTCTCACTCTGCCTGGCCCTCCGCCCTCCCCACTTGACAACACCACCGAGTATTGGGCTAGTGACTACAGAGAAAATAAAGGGGTGTACTAGATTACCTCCTAGTTCTGAGATGAGGTCCTTCCAGCTCTGAGACCAGTCAGTCAAGAAGCATTTATCAAACCCTGATTACGGGCTCATTCCAACCATGCAAAAGCAAAAAGAAGTGCCTGCCTTCAAGGAGGATACATTCTAACAGGAGACACAGCATGTAAAGAACTGGGTCCACATAAGATATAGATAGAAAGAGCAGGTGAAGACCATCTGAACAAGAGAAGGGCATTTCTAGGACTTTGCTGGTTTTTAGATATTTTACATTCCCTGGCCTTAAAAAGCTTCAGACACACTGACGGCCCCCATCGAACCCGCCCCCCCAACTTCGGACAGGTAGAAAGGAGGGTCTCCTTGTCTTCTGACCTCTTGGGCGTGGCTGGTTTTCACAGGGGGCCCCGTGCTCTTTGTCGTCCCGTGGGTGATCTCTCGACACCTCCACGAGAACACTCAGTGAGTCAAAGTGGACACCAGGAGGCGGTGCCAGTATGGAATGTGGGCGTGACCTGCTTGGGGTGGGGGGCTGAGGACTAACATAATGGGAGGGGCTGGGGTGGAATACGGGTGTGACTCACACAAAGGCCGCCTGGATGGAAGGGCGGGGCCAGGATAGAATAGGTTGAGCAGGACCTTGGAGAGTTCTTCTTACAGGTGCTGGGAACGGAATGAGATCAAGGCAATCTGGTGGATTATCCGCATGCCCATTCTCGCCACCATCTTGGTATGATTCCCCATTCCCTATCTCATAGAATAGTTCTCTCTTACTCAAGGAAGATGTCTCCTCCAGCAGCCTCTGCACCCCCTTTCCTCAGTTCAGGCTTCTTTTCATCTTAGTTTGGGGTTTTCTAGGCTCCTTTCCCAGCCCTCTCCCTCTGTCAAAACCTAGCCCGATTTCCCATGGCATCCAGGAAGCCCTCCTTGACCACCCAGGAAGACAGACCTCCTCTTCTGAGCTCCCCACTCCTGACTGTGCGGGCACTCTCCCCCTACCAGGCTCTGAGAGTGGGAGTACCCAATGTTCCCCGAGGCTCCCCAAGGCCCCATACCCCCAGGCTTAGCCTCAGTCCTACCCTAGAGGGGTGGCAGAAGTGTGAGGGAGAGGTTCAACAAATAGGTCAGCTGGATGAAAAGGAACTATAACATTCTCAGATTCTATGTCCAAATTCTAAGCCTAACCTTCCACAGCTGTAATGTTCTAACATTCTATGTTCTTGAATCCCAACTGTCCACGGTGCTGATAGTCTAAGGTTCTAACAGTCTGAGTCTGGAACCCTCCTGTTCCTTAGCTTCTTACTCAAACTCCAACAGTTTTGCCCTCATACTCAGCATGACCCTTCCCTACATTTTGTCATTCCCCTCCTCAGGTTAATTTCCTTATCTTCGTTCGGATTCTGGGCATCCTGCTGGCCAAGCTGAAGGCCCACCAGATGCGTTGTCAGGACTACAGGCTCAGGTCGGGGGAGGGAGGGAAGGAAGAGTCCCTGGGGTCAGGGAGGATTCACATAGGGGGAGGGGTAGAAGGGCCCTGGGGGTTCATGCTCCCTTTACTCCCAGGCTGGCCAGGTCCACACTGACCCTGGTCCCCCTCCTGGGCATCCATGAGGTGGTGTTTGCACCTGTGATAGAAGAACAAGCCAAGGGCACCCTTCGCTACACCAAACTGTGCTTTGAGATCTTCCTCAGCTCCTTCCAGGTAAGGTGCTGGGATAGGAACTGTCTCAGTGCATTCCAAATCCACCACCTGCCACCCTTGCTCCTTGGTCTCGGCAGCCCAATCTGGTTCTGCAAACTGCTTCGAGAAGTCTTCCCAGATTGGAACCCACCTCTGACACTCCAGACACAAAGAATACAAAAGCTTTCACCTCTGAAAGTTCCATCATACATGCAGAAACTAAAAACTATTGTCTAACAACACCCCCCCGTTATATTTGGGAAAGCTCAGGCTCAAAAGGGGAAGGGCTGTGTCTAACAGCAAATCTCTCACCCTTGCGTGTCAACCGAGAGCAGATAATCTGTTACATTGCTAGGATGACTCACAAAAAGGGAGGGAAGGCTAAGATTATCAGACTGCTTTGGGGGAGAGAACACTGGATTTGGAGCCTGATTAAGACCTGGGCTGAAGTCCTGCCCTTTTTTTAAGAGAGGGCTCAGGCTTCCCATAAAGCACTTGTATTCATTCAGTGTCTTCTCTCCAGGGACTCTTTGTCAGCATCCTATACTGTTTCATCAACAAAGAGGTATGAAGCCCCCAGACCCATTATGACCTTCTTCCCCACAGGGGGTCAACTGGTAATGGTCATGTCCTACCTTTGCCCTTGGCCCCCCGCAGGTCCAGGCTGAGATCCGAAAACAATGGCAGCGATGCCGGCTGGGCCAAAGTCTCTTGGATGAACGCCTGTCCCGGGACCGCCACTCTTCTAGCCACGGGGCTGCCCCCTGCCACTCCATATGCAGCAGGGGGCTGGGTGGGGAGGGAGAGGAGGCCAGCCCGGCCTCTGAGAGCTCCTGCTAGGAAAGGCTCCAACCACCCCCTGCTTCTCCCAACAAAGAATCAAAGATGCATGTGTGTTTTGCAAAAACGTAATCGCCACCATGCCTCTTTTTCCAGCCCTAATTTGAGGTTTATAGAGCTCTTTCCTTGGCACAGCCTTGGGCTGCGGAAGGTGATACAAGGTTGATTACCCCTGATTTCCAGAGGGAAGAGGCAAGGCTCCATGACTTGGCCAGGGGGCGGAGGAAGAGGCAGAACCACTAAGCTCAGATGACGACAGGCAGGAGCCCCATGGGTATATGGAAGAACAGAATTATAGGATCGGGGAGCTTCAGGCATCATTTAATCCAACCTGCCCGAGCTACAGGTCTCTCTGCGGCATCCAGCCCCTGACAGGAAGCTCACTACAACCTTGTCTCCCTTCTCCTACCCTGGCACCCCATCCCATCCGTAGCTGGTTACTAGGAGCTAATCTCCTTTCTGGAAGACCTGGGTTCAAGCCCCATTTCGGCCACTGACACCCTATCCTTCCCAGTCTCTGGGCCTCACTTTTCCCATGTATGGTATTTGAATATCAAGCCAGAATTGGAATTCCTGCCCTCCGGGACCGAGCAGAACACGTCCTTCAGACAGCAGAAAACAGAGACTGTGTCACAAAATCACAATTTCAGAGCTGACAAGGACCTTAATGGCTATGTACTCCAACTTGTGTTTGAAAAAAACCAAATCTCCTTGTGTAACCTCCTAGACAAGCGGCCACCCTGGCTGGGCCTGGAGACCTCCAGTGAGGGGGAATTCACTATGTTTCAGGGCTGGTCACTCCAGTTCAGGATGACTCATCACGGGGACATTTTTTCCCCTGGTTATCAAGCCTAAATCTGCGTCTTTTCACCTCCCCCCTACAGCTTATGGTCCTGCCCTCTGGCACCAACCATGGGAGGGAGGATCCCCCTTCCATACACCCACTGTATCTTCAAACGCTTAGAGCCATCATATTCCCCCCCCGACCCCGCCCCCTGAGTCTTCTCCGGGCTTTGGGTAAAAGATCCCCCAGCCCCTCCTCATTTGCCATGAAGGAGGCCCTTCACCACCACCATTTCCTTCCTCTTTATGCTCTCCAGCCCATTGGGGTGCTTCATAAATTGTTTTCCCTGGAACCGAATCCCCCAGACGGGGCCTGGTCAGTGAGAGGTGAGCAAGACCGCCATTTTCTGGATCCCAGAAGTCAATGGGGCCCAAGATCCTAACAGCTTCTGGGCTGCGGTCTTGTCCGGTTGAATTACTGAGCTTTCAGTCTCCTAAAGACCTCTGACATTCTTCAGATGAGCTGTTGGGCCTCTCGCACCTGATATGTTTCAAGTTTTGAACACGAGGCTAAGCCTTGGATATTTATCCCTATTTCATCTTATTAGATTCAGCTCAATTTTCAAAGAATCACAGAGCAGGAAGAAACTTCAGGGGCATCTAGTCCCAACTGGCTCATTTTACAGATGAGGAAACTGAGGCCCAGGGGATCAAATAACTTGCCCAAGGTCACTTACATGGGATTTGGATGAAGGTCCTGACTCCAGACCTGTAATCCTTAAGGTGTTTTGTTAGCCTGTTTGGATTCCAATGCTGTCACTCATTGTGATAGGTACCTCTTGCAGCTTTGTGTCACCCGATAAAGATGTCACCTAAATCCTTATGAAAGTCACTGACAAAGACATTCAGCAGCACAGAGCCAAGCGTAGATCCCCGCAGCACTCCACTGGAGACCTCCTTGTGAAGTAACATTGAATTATCAAGGACTATGTTTTGAGCCTGCCCATTATACCAATTCCAGATCATCCCTCTGGCTGTACCATCACCTGGCCCACGTCTCTCCAGCCCTTTCACAAGAATCAATAGATGGCTTTGATGAGACTTGGGTCAACTCTCTCCTGCAGTCCCCTGATGTATTAGCTTAGTAACACTGTAAAAAAGGAAATAAAATTAGTTTTGTGTGAATAGTCCTCAATGAAGCTACGTGGGTACTTTCGCTTCCCGCTTCTTCTCCTTCCGGTTCACCGACCGTCCCTTTAGTAATAATCCATTCCAGAAATTGAAGTCAAGCTCACTGGCCTCAAGTTTGCCGGATGTTTGACCTTTGTGCCATGGTCCCCCTCCCACTCTCCACCCTTTCTAAGATCCCGGATGGTGCCTCTGCAATCATACCCAGGGATGTAACTCATCTGGGTCACTGTGGACTCATCCAGAGTAGCCAGGGGCCCTCTCCTTTTCTCCTGACTGCAGGATCAGCCCCCTAGTAGCCATTTTCACTTTTCTTTCCAGTCTGAAAATCCTTCTCCTTGGTAAACAGAAGCAAAATGCACATGGTGCAGTCTCATCATCGACAGGCCTCTGCCTTCACTGGTCCTCGCTCTTGGCCCACACCACCCCGTTCTTCTTCACAGATTCTGGCATCATTGGTCTGAGACATTTAACATCCACATCCTTGGCGTGGTCTTCTGAAAGCCTTCTAAAAATCCAAGCTGGCTGTGGAGTGGTCTGTACATCTACACCACGTACCCTTCTTCTCCTCACTGAGAGAGGATTCAGAATTTCATTCTTGTGTTTCCTGCCCTTCCTCAGCTGTTTTCCCCACACAACTTTAGTGTGTGGGATCCTAGCCTACTCTGAACTCTTTGAAATCTGGTCTCTCGATTTCTAGGATGCATGTTAAACTATTCTCAGCTCTCCTCTCCCATATCACTGCTTTCCCCTGCTCCACAATGAGCTCCTCTGCTGGAGAAAAGCAGGTCCAGAATAGAATTCCCTTTGATGTTTATGAAATGATTGTTAAGATAAAGGCAAGAATGACTTCACACGTGTAACTGACATCACACTGCTTGCCTTCTCAATGGGATAGACTTTGGAAGTCAAAATCTTTTTTAAGAAAATGGATCTTAAAAATAAATAAACATTTAAAAACCCACCAAAAAGTCAAGAGATCAGCAGAGAATGAGCACTAGCAGGTCTGGAGGGGCTCTTAGACCTTCCCTTTCCCTCCCCTCCCCTGATCCTCACAAATAACGTAAGAGCTACAGTTTGAGAGGATCTTCTTTTATTTCCACAGATCCAAAGGATTCTTCCCCTCCTTGTGAAGGAGTACCCTTCCCTCTTGCAATATGATATAAGATTTTTCAAATATATACTGAGATGATGTGAGGATCAGAGGGAGATTCTTGAAGGTGGAAAGCTTTGTGACTTTGGGGTGGGAATGAGACTCTGGATCTTAAGCCTGTAACAGCCCCAGAGGAAGGGGAGCTCCTTGGGGTCGGGTTGAGCGGTAGAGTCAAGCCCAGTGTCTCCTTAAACAAGGTCTGGGGGGGGGGGGGGGCGAGGAGAACTACCTTTGTGACCCTAAGCAAATCAAGGCTAAGAAGGGGTTGAATGAGACGGTCTATAAAGCCCTTCCAGGTCTAAGGGCCTTCCTGTTCTTAGGACCCCCAAGAATTCCCCCAACTCCTCCCCCTCCTGTTTGCAGGGGTCTCAATTCCCTTACCCACCACTGCACCCCCACTTCCATGACTTTATAATATAGTCTGTACTCTTTAGGATGGAAACAGTGACTCCCTGAGGGTGGGGTGGGAAGGAGGAGGAGGGCTCCTGCGCTGTCAGGGGAGCTCTCTGGGGCCAGAGGCAGGCCAGCAGGAGGCTGTGTCCAGCAGGGCTGGGATGGCAGTCCCTGCGATAGATGAGAATTTAGGGGGAAGGAGTTTACTTTTTTCTGGTTGGTAAAAGTAGCATATGTAAATCAACAATAAAAACACCTTGTTCTTTGTGGGGAGAGGGAATGAAAAAGTCAGCCTGAGAGTTCAGGCCCAGGAGCGCCAGGCATAGCTCAGAAGGCACCCTCAGCTGGGAATGGAGGAATTTGGCCTGTGCTGCCTCTGATGCTTCTGAGGTGGGGGACCTGACCTCCCTGGGCTACTTTCCTTATTGACAGAAGTGAGGGAGGTGAATATGCTGGGGTTCCAGGCTTGCTTGGCTCCACATTCTAGTAGGGGTTGTTAGCACCCCCAAAGTTCCAGACCCCACTCACAACCTAATGGTAGAAATGCTGGGGGGTGTGTGTGTGTGTGTGTGTGTGTGTGTGTGTGTGTGTGTGTGTGTG